ACTGACCCCCCACCCACGACTTCCCTTCCCATCCCGACTCCCCTCCCTCCCCCTCCCTCCCTACTCCGAGTCCCTACTCCAACGTCGATCCCACTTCCCATCCCGACTTCCCTCCCTGCACTGACCCCACTCCCACGACTTCCCTTCCCATCCCGACTCCCCTCCCTCCCCCGACCTCCCTACTCTGAGTCCCTACTACGAGTCCCTACTCCAACGTCCCTACTCCGACTTCCCTTTGCCTACGTCGCTCTGCCGACCTCCCTTCGTCGACTTCCTTCCCGATCCCTGCGTCCCTCCCCCTGCTTCCCGTCCCCACCTCTCCCCCGATCCCGGTTTCCCTCCACCGATCCCCACCTCTCTCCCCCGATCCCGACTCCCTCCTCCGGCCTTTCTCCCCCGGCCTCCGTCCGGCGACTTCCCTCCCCATCCCGGCTTCCTTCACCCCACTTCCCCCCATCGATCCCCACCTCTGTCTCCCAATCCCGACTTCCCTCTCCGATCCCATTTCGACATCCCGACCTCTACTTCCCCCGATTGCAACCTCCCTGCCCTGACAGCTCTTCCTCCTCCTCCTCCCGCTGCTCCTCCTGCTCTTCCCCCCTTCCTCCTCCCGCTCGTTCCACAGACCGCGCCCTCACCCATCGACAGTCTGCACGGATGCCCTCTCTCTCTCTCTCTCTCTCTCTCTCTCTCTCTCTCTCTCTCTCTCTCTCTCTCTCTCTCTCGTCCTCCCTTTCACACTGCTTAACAACAACAGATGGTGGATCGTTTTTCTCCCCTTCGCCCTCCTGCTTCTCCTCCCGCTCTTCCTCCTCCTCCTCCCATTTCTCCTCCTGCTCGTCCCCCCTTCCTCCTCCAGCTCCTCCGCACGACGACGACCCTTGCTTCCCGTTCGCGCGATGTCCCCCCGGGCCCGCACTACTGCTGCGCTTGCTGCACTTCGCCCCCGCCACCCTTCCGTCCGCCCCCGCCTTCCACTCCAGCGTTCCGTTGGCCTTTGCCGTTCCGTGCTGCCCTTGGCCCGCTTCGGTTTCTGCTGCGCGCGTCGGCCTGGGTCTCCGCCCCCTGGACCTCGCATCCGCCCTGCGCCCACCCGCGTTGCTTTTCGCCCACCCGCGTGGCTTTTCGCCTGGTTCGCTTTTCCCTGCCCGCCTCGGCCTGGGCCTCGCCCCTGCACCGGTTCCCCTACCCGGTTCCACCCCTCCACGGGTTTCCCTTGGGCCCGCGACCGAGCATGTCAGCGGGACCTTTACAACTTTTAGTAGTATAGAGAAGAGATAGAGATAGAGATAGAGATAGAGATAGAGATAACAGCAGGATCCAGAGCAGACGCTGTTGAGATCAAAAGGTTGGTAACTCAATTCTTATCTGAAGCGCTCAAAACTGGAGAGCTTAATCAGCAGGTGGCTGGGTGCTGGTAATATCAACAGCAGCCTTTTCGGTCTTATGGTACACCTTGGGAGTGCACCTGCTGGGAGATTATCTTATAAGCGGATTAAGAAAACAGCAGATCGTGTACTGTGGAAACCAAAATCCAACGCGGAACAGGGGTTCATCACCGAGGTCGCCTGGGAGACGGTTACCTTTCCAAGCGACCAAGGAGGCCTTCTGTCCTCACCCGAATAGAACGCAGCCTGGTCATCATAGCCGTATTTGAGGCAACTTTCAGTCCAGATACAGCCATAATGACCAGGCGTTCTATTCGGGTGAAGACGGCAGGAACACTGGACCCGCATCAGCAAAATCTGGCCTTGCGGGCCAAATGGCCAATCAAAGCCTTAACAGCGGCAGCAGAGTCGCCATGGACACTAGTACTGGCCCTGCATATTCTGTCAAGAGAGTGATCCTTGAGCAGGCCCAAAGACGCTTTAGCCTGCCTTCTGATCAACTTGTATATTCACGAGTGACCAAAATCCAGATTTGGGTGTCATATTTTGCAAGCCTGCCAGAACGTTGTTCATGGTATAAGGAATTTTCAGCCCACGACTCACCGGGATGTTTTGGTAAGTCCTGGGTACAGAGAAGGGGTGGTACAAGTCGAGTATACTTGGGACAGCATACCGCTACCGATAGATAAGGCGGCCGTGGACTCCACGACAGTCGGTCAAGAGTAAACTGGATAGACTCAGACAGGTTCCGGCCAGACTGCTTTCTCTGAGACAGGCTATTCCACAGACCTGGGTAATCCTGCTACGGGAGAATGTGTTACCCTCTGATGAACTATGGTGCAAAGACCCTGTTGAGCAGGATGATGGTCAGGTTATGAGAGACTTGAGGGAGGAGGGAGGCGGAGCCACTGAGTGGAAAAAGGATGTCTCATTTGCCTTTACGAAGGAACTGATTAGAGGAGATGATATCAGACTAGACTCTCTGAGTGGGAAAACAGAACTGGTAGCCAGACAGAGGACAGCAAAAGCACCTGCAGGAGGGACCTTACTGTACAAGATGACTCTGCCGATGGGGGACACCGCGCTCGCAGAAGCATCGGTGGATGTCACATTCAATAGCAGGTAAGTAGAAACATAAAAAGAGATGATAGAAGTAGATCAACACTGTTCTCAGCTACCAACTGGCCTAGCTCAGTTGGCATACCCCTGAACTGAACTGTTAAAATACAGACCCGAGTTCAGACTCCGCCGGATGCAGATGAGTACAAATCTGGGCTACCAGCCGGGTCACCCTATTTTCCTGGGCGGCCCGGCCGTGCAAGGACCAGGGAAGGTCCTAGCAAAAAGAAACAAACAAAAAAAACGTTAAAAAAAAAACAGAAAAAAAACTATGTTGTCATTAAAAAAAATCCAATATCCAGCGGCCTAGCTCAGTTGGTAAGGCACACAAGTGCCATTCAGGAGGTCTTGGGTTCAATCCCCATTGGCCTCATGCACCTTCCTGGGCAAGCTTGGCGCCCGCCACCTAGAGATATGTCGTTGGTCCCCCGAGCGGCATTGAGCAGAGACTGCTGATGTTCATAGGGGGAGGGGACCGGAGGAGAGGCACAGTGACTGGCCCATCAAAGAAGCTCGGTCCTGATGCTACCGGCTGACCCCTGGTCTGTATCGCCCACCTGCTGTAGCAGGTATCGCACCTCCTGGTGGGTGCAGCTCCCGCATGTTCCCTCGTTGGAGGCTTGAGCATGGATGTGGCTGCTACGGGGTTCCCCGTAATACTATAATGGCAATAAAAAAGGCCTGAAAGGCCGTCCTGTCCAGATTTGACAGGTAATTGAATTGGTTGGGCTTAAAGAATTAGCCTTTAAAAAAAAAAAGTCAAAAACAAAATCCGGAAAAAAAACTATGTCATGCAGAAAAATAAACTGAACAACTTTTGCCTCACGGTCACATCGAAATTCTTTACCAAATTTAAAATCACAAAATCTTTTTTTTATTATTATTAATTTATTATTTTTTTTTGGCCCGGCAGGGCAAGTGATCCCAGGCCACTCTGGTAGCCTAGGTACAACAAATACTACGATAGGGCCGGTCAGTTCGAGGATGATATCTCAAGGCCGTCACCCTTTCAAAGAAAAGGAAAAAAAAAGGGAGGAGAGGGAAAAATATAAATAAAAAAAACACTGTTCTAAGGTAGGGGGAGAGCACTGCTGAGAGAAAAGGTCCAAAAACACAACAGTTCTTTCTGTGGAGAACCGAAGGAAAGATCACGATATCCCTGCTGTTTCTTCGGATCAACTCGTCAGTCTTTTGGAAACAGCTAAAGCGTCTTCCCTCTCAGAAGTCGGCCAGCATTCTCTGGCTTCAATCTTATGTCGTGATGGCCTCTGCAACCAACCTACCGACAAAGGGTATGCCCATATCCACCAGATGTATCCGATGAAAGTGGCTGCGGGAGAACAACCGTCACTTGTGGTTGACCTGTCCAGCTTCCAGAAGTGGGACTGGTACCAAAGGCGGATTTTCTTGGTCTGACGATTGGATACTGTCCGGCCTGCTTGCAACAGACAAGCACTCAGAGAAAGATTGGTTATATGTAGCCCAGGTCGCCAGAGCGGTGACTATGCTATGAAGGTGATTTGGGATGATAGAAACGACCAGCTGTTCACAGCAACGTACGCATCTGATGCGGTCATTAAGCAGCACACGAAAGTCGAAGAATGGCTTGGTTTCGATGAAGCAGAAGGTAAGGTTAGGATAACGGACTTGATACGTGAATCCAGTCCCATTCCGGCCCATACGTTACTACTGTCCACGTGTCAAGCAGGCGGAAGGTGGGCGTATACGTGGGGACAGTAAGCCACGGCTGAATTCATGCTCAATGTGTCAATAGCGAGCCTGAGACTTGAGAAAGATCACAAGACTGAGAACTGCAGCTATTAGTGACAGGGCCAAGGGCTCTGTGAAGGGTAATTCTTATCGGACGCGGAAATGGTTTTGAGATTCTTGGGGCAGAGACTCGAGTTTGGTAAACCTAGACGCTGTAGGAACTGCTAGGAAGTTTGTTTGTTTGTTTGTTTGTTTTTTGCCACCGGTCGCTCCAATCTATTGCTGGGGAGCTGCACCTGCTGGAAACTGGGTCCACCGTCCCTGACACATCAAATCACCTCATGAAAACTGTGACCGGATACCGGGGCCATGACCCGGCACACTGTACGAAGGTTACAGTTTTCCCAGTGGTTATTGTCCCGTGTCCTACACGGTGAGTGATTTAGCTCTCTCCCCCTTAGGACCAGTGGTCCGCACACGGGAATTAGGAAGTAGCTCTTGCGAGGATCTCTGTCCTCAGTTGGCCCTTGCTAGGCCCTGCTGTTGATATGTGCCCGCTGTAAAGTGAAGGTGGGCCTGCATTTTCTATGAGGTGCGAATTTGTCATTTCTGAGCCCCTTGCTGCAGACAGTTTCCCTGTGTCAGTTGGTTGAATGAGTCCTGCCTACGGGCAACAGCATCTTGTTGGGCCGTCGAGGCCTTTCCTGTGTGGATGTGGAAGCAGACATTTCGGCCTATCACAAGGCAGGGAACAGCAGAGGCCACGACTGGCAGTTGGGCACACTTAGCTGCTGCGGACCCAGGCCAGTACCTGAATTGGGCCTGGCTGCAGATCATATGGCCCGAGGTGAAGCTACTGGGCACACGGCCCACCCCGCCTGGAAGCTTCCAGGCCAGGCCACTTTCCATATAGGAAAGAGCCTGGCTGTGTGCTGGGCATTCGGGCACTTGGTTGTGCGAGCGGCAGCGCTGCTTGAGCGATTGCTCGCGCCTGCTGGGCTAGCGCTGGGTGCAAGAACGCGCGCACAGGCGCAGGGTGAAGCTGGGCGCTGCTTGCGAGCAGCACCAGAGCCCAGCCGCCAGGCTGTGGATCGGGGGATGGTCAGCAGGGAATAGGTGGTGGTCCTTAGAAGGTGATGGGACGTGGGTGGTGAGACAAGGATGAGCGCACAGAGAGAGAGAGAGAGAGAGAGAGAGAGAGAGAGAGAGAGAGAGAGAGAGAGAGAGAGAGAGAGAGAGTGGAGGAGAGGTGAGAGCACGTACCTGGTCGTCGTGGAGGTCTGCATGAGCGACATATGCATGTACTTTGGTTTCTGCTGCTGACGTCAACTGGTTGCTTCGTCAGTTTAGTAGGCTAGTACAGCAGCTGTATGATCGTAGTCTGGGTGCTGAGCGCCATTAGGAGGAAGAGCTTCGGGTACAGTGTTGATGGTGGAGGGAGAGAGCTTTCATTGACAATTGGTTTCGCTGCTTTGGTTCTCCTTTGGTGTGATATGGGTGCATTTCTGCTTTCTGGACAGCTTTCGACTATCTGGCTTTCAATGTGATATTGCAATTTTGAATTCTGTCATTTCGCTATTGCTCATTTTCCTTGCACTCTGCAGGCAACAAAAAAAAAAAAAAGGAAGTAGCTCTGTAGGCAACGGTAAGTTTGATAGGCCAAAGGAGTCATTTTGCTCAGTCTTTTTTCTTAGTTCGAGGAACTACAGGGTTCTCATGGGACATTGCACCAGGTTCCCAGGAGCCGAAGCTGGGTAGTGGCCCCAGTTTTCTTTGCCCTTACAGGGTTGTTTGTGGGGATTCCCTGCCCCATTATGCATGGGAAATCAAATGGTTATGGTTCTCAAAAAAAAAAAAAAAAAAAAAACATTTCAGGCTGAAGAGGCCAAAAAGGGGATTACTCTCTAGTTCACAACAGCCAAAGCCGGGTAATGGCCCCACTAGCAAGATGATACTTAATTGATGTATCTGGGATCCTGGACCCGGTTTCCAGCAGGTGTGGCTCCCCACCAATAGACTAGAGCGACCAGTGGGGGCCTACTAGGGAGAGGTGTTCGCCCCGCCCCCTAGTAGACCGAAGCTGGGTCTTTGGGGGGGAAACAAAAAGAAAAGTTAAAAAAGAAAGGGTATACATTCGAAACAACAACGAAAACCAGAAAATATTGGGGCATTCACAGTAGAGCACGGGTTATATAGGTGTGAATGGAAAGGTCATCAGAGTACTTCGGTTCAATTTGAAGGCCTATGAGCTGTGCTGACGAGAGGATGTGCTGTGCGGGGAAACACAGTGAGCGGACATAAGAAATTGAAGATACAATTAAAACACCAGCTCGCAGGAAGGTAAGTAGGCGTAGCGCAGTCTGGTAGCGCATCTGTTTTGGGTCGAGCTGGGCTCTGTTTACACGGTAAGGCCATTCTGTTTTGGGTCGAGCTGGGCTCTGTTTACACGGTAAGGCCATGACGCTTTGGGCCCAAGCCGGTAGTGAACGAGGAAGGCCACTACTACTACGGGTAACAGAAAAAAAGTTACCGTCAGCCTTGGAAGGTAGCTTTGTCAACTTAGGCTCGTCTGAACTGCTGTTTTTAAACCGCCAGTTCACCCCAAGCAGAGAACTGTCTTACGGGAGCATTTTGATTCGGGGCTACGCAGGCAGCGAAAGCGGCAGGCCACTTCGAAAAGCTGCAGTTGCAGGCTGGCATATGGGAGCAGCATTTTTTCTTTTTTTCTTTTTTGGACCATTTCTCGATTTATGCCTGTCATCCTTCCGCAGGGGCCGTGCTAATCTTCTCTGTATCGTTCCAATTTTAACGGATGTCCCGAAGGACGGGAGCAGCATTTTGACTCGGGCCTAGGCAAGTATCTGGCGGCAGGCCACTTTGAAAAAAGGCGCAGTTGCAGGCTCGCAGATTGACTCAGTCCTGGGCAGGTAGCTAAGGCGGCAGGCCACTTCGAAAAAAGGCGCAGGCTCGCATACGGGAGCATTTTGATTCGGGCCGGCCGGGGGGTGCATTTGATTCGGGCCTGGGCCGGGGGCCGCATTTTGATTTGGGCCTGGGCCGGGGGGCGCATTTTGATTCGGGCCTGGGCAGGTAGCGAAAGCGGCAGGCCACTTTGGAAAAAAGGCCCAGTTGCAGGCTCCCAAGCCTTGGAAGGAAGCTTTGTCGACTTAGGCTTGTGTGAAGTGGTGGACTAACCGAAAAAAAGGACGAGGAAAAGACAAGAAGAAACGACTAAGAGTGTGAGAATCCTAAGAGGGACTGTTTCTTTCCTTGTTTGTTTCTTTGTGCGTTTTGTGTGTTGCCATGTTCGCTATACACAACTCCACAGAAAAAGGCATGACTGTGTCAGACCGTTTCGCACGCCTTTCACCAACTCATCAGGAGGTTGAACCTCCACAGTCTGTCTGCCCAGGCAGGATGCATTTGACAATTTTGTTTTGGCTGATGGATAAGGAATCATCACGTCGTCCTGGAGGGTTAGGAACACCCACCTTAGGGCATAGTCACACTAGGTAGGACTTTTTTACTTAGCTCTGGACGTGATTGCAGGCAGATGCATCCACGTGCGGCCGTAATTGCAGTCAGATACATTTAGGAAAGTGCTAGTGTGAGTACGCCCTTATAAAGAGAGAAAACTGGTCGACGTTGGGAAAAAAAAAAAAAAACGTGGACGACTTTACTCACCCCGACCCTGCAATCCTAGCAGACTGTCGGTCCGAACCCCTGACGAAAATGGCACTAAGTCTGAGACACTGGTCTGTCACAGCCATAAAACCCACTGTTGCCATGTACGCTGTGTTCACACTTAGACGTGCATGGCCTACCAGACAAGCATATTCACTATACTGGCAGGCTCAAGCAGGAAAAGAATTTGGAGAACATTTCTCTATATGTGCGTTTCGTCCTAGCTCAGTGAAGATGTTATAGTAATCCAATCTTCTCTGTATCGTTCCGTGGTACTATTCTCTGATGAACCAACGGGTCTAGCTCAGTTGGTACAAAAAGAGCTGCCAAGTTCGAATTCTCTGTGACGTCCCAAAGTACCCATCAGTGCGAGTAGATAGCGACTAGACATACTAATATTATACGTCTGAAACTAAACAAACAAATACTGTAAACAAAGAGATAAATTGATAAAACATCGTTGCAAATTCCTTCACCTGCTCCAAGATCGGCGTTTTCTGGGAGTTCTGCTTCGATCAGGGGAAGAAGGTTGCGATCCGGATTCCTCCGCTCCCGATCCCGACCAGGATTCCCCAAGCGACAGCAGCAGTGACGGAGATGATTCGTCTTCTCCTTCTCCTTCTCCTTCTCCCTTCACTCGCGCCTTCCCCTTCCCCTCCTCTCCTTCGAAGTTCCCCCGCCGCTCGTCCTCCCCACTCCGCGCCCGCCCCTGCGCCGCCCCTGCAGCGTACCCGGCTGCCAAGCTGATTATCGCGGCTGCCAGGACGACGATCGACGGCCCTAGCATCGAGATCAGACTGTCCGCCGTCGCGATCAGCCGCATTGATGGCTCGGTGATTGATACATCCTCCATCATCCACGCTCCAGCTAGGCCCATCCGACGGCATTTGGCTTGATACCGAAGATTCGGCCCACCCGCGCACGCCGGTCGGAACAACGAGAAGTTTGGAACAGAGCGAAGCACAAGACCACGACTTGGTGACATGGAAGCACTGCTCCCGCCATCATGCCCCATTGCAGAGGGAAGTCCGTATCCACGTGGCGTCCGGCGGTGCATCGTAGATGGACACCAGTGAGCCGTCAGATGTCCGCTGCTGCGTGCCACGTGTCCTGTTTGGGGCCTCACACATCCAAGCCTCCGAAGGCTACCGGTAGTAGCGGAACCACTGCCTGAGTGAACTGACTGCGGCGGCGCGCAACGGCGCCAAGCGCTGCTTTTGAGCGGCCGCGGGGCTGACGGCGCGCAGCTGCGCCACGTGTTTCTTCCGCAGGTTGACTGCCAGGAGAAAAGTGCCCGCTGCCAACACATCTCATCGCTCATTCCCACCTCCCTCTCACCTTCTTCTAATCCCATCAAGTCATTACCCGCGCTGGCCCTCCATGACCGCCTCCTACTCCTACCGCTCCACGATCTTCTCCTCGGACCTTGTGCCCGAACACAGCCAACGGAAGCTGCCGGGCATTCATCGCTCCATGACCTTCTCCTCGGACCACGTGGTCGAGCAAAGCCAAACGGTGCTGCTGCGCTGCCATCCCCACTTCGGTCCTGCAGAATCACTGAGGGCCATCCACGAGGCAAAAGCTTCCCCTCGAACACGCGATTGTCTGACTCGGACTGGCATTGGGCGTCGAGATCCCCTCCAAGGACGACGCTTGTCCAGCCGCCACCTCCGCAACAGATTTGCCGCCCCCGGACTGCCATGATCTTTGGCGTAGGTGACACGTCATACTATGGTTGCCAGGTCACAATGACTTCACTACGCAGGACAGAAGCTTCCCGTCAAATCGGCCCTTCCTACCCCCCCTCTCTCTCCCATCTCACCCCTTCCTGGAACAATGCCGCCAGTTGCCGCCAGCCCTGCCACTCCTCTTCGTGACGGGCCCGCACTGCCCCCGCGCCCCGCGCCCCCGCCCCTACTGATAGCTCTTTCTTTTTTTTCTTTTTTTTCTTTTTTTCTTTTTTTTTTACAAAGGCAAAGGAACGACGCCGGGGACCTCACAATTCAACCCGGGCCGAGGTCCCACTAGCAAAAAGGATAGGATAGAGCTCCTGAATCTGGATGTGTTTTAAGCAGAGATGCAGAAAAGCAGTTCAATCTCTATTTCCTGCACGTCTCCGTAAACTCGGCCAGATTCAGGCATTCGCTCGTATCCTCTTTGCTAGTGGGAGGCAGCTTCAGCCAGTTTCGCTTATGAGCCAAGCTCACTCTGACCCCAGCTGCATCTGCTGCATCTAAATTCCTGCTGGAAACCGGGTCCAGCGTCCCTTGCCTCCTAGAGAATCTTTCCAAATAAAAAATAAAAATAAAATGAAACTTGAAGCTCAGAAAAAAGGTGACTTCCTAAACAGACCAAGTCCTACTAGAAACCTGCAGACCTAGAACAGAACACAACAGCTGCTAGAGACCCTGAAACCCTTCACGGTGGTTTAAGCCACCGAGAAATCACCAACTTTTTTCCTGAGTCACTGCTGCAAGCTGGTTCCCTCTTGCCCAAGATTTTAAAAACCAATAAAACCCCTTTCTTTTACTTTTAAAGCTTCTTTGCCAGTCTGCCCGGATCTGCAGTCTTAAATTTGAACAAATTCGAGCCTGTTGTTTGTAGATAGTAACTTTCGTATTTAGGAAGACGACCGAATTTCTCGCTCTCCAGATTTCGTGTATCAGAATTCCTCTGCAAACCAGAGCTACATAGCCCCATCCTTCCTTGAAGTCTGTGCCCTTACCTGGTGGTATACTATACAGAACCCAGTCGTCAGTCCAAGGCCAAGAGCCACCTGTTACCAGGTCCCAATGCTTAATCCACCATATCCACAGTTCATCTGCAAGTGGACAGTATAACCAAAGATGAGCATTAGATTCTCATCCCCAGTCACACCGTTTGCAGGTGAGTGGAATGTCCATACCCTTCTGCGAAAGCCAGAGTGCTGAGGCCGTCACCAACAGTGATTGCAACCACAAGAGGCTTGCCTCCTTCTGCGAAGGTATCAGCTGTAGTCCTCTCCAGAGTGACCTCCAGTCCGGTTGTTCAAAAGGACCGTTCTTAATTTTCTCCAGTCTTTGGCTGGCCAAGCCAATTGGAGTCTTTTTAACCTGTTTCTGCTGCGTTATAACTCCTATTTTCGGCCAGTAATGAATCAGAGCCACCGACTCGTCTTGATTAAACTTGCTTCCTGGAGACCAACCCTTGCAGTTAGGGTTCCACTCTGAAGTTTGTAGAAGGACCCAGCAGTCTTGCTCGTGCACCATCCCTACTGAGTAGGACTCTGGCTTCCGGCTGATCCTTTATATCGAATACCGTCCTCTCGCCGATCCGCACCAGGATCATTGGTTTATCTGGCCTATAATTCCCCAGCCCTGGGCTTCGCCGTTCTTCTACTTTTCGTCCTCCCCCAAGGTCTGGCCCTAAAATCTTCCATACCGAGAACACCCAGGAACCCATGGCTTGATCCACATCTTGTTTAAGCTGGTGAGTCCAGTTTCCGGGAACTGCAGAAATTAGTGCCCCCCTGTTCCGGCCCACGTTCCTGAGGCGGGGGAGTTTTTCCTTCAAGCGCTCCTCGGTGTCCCAGTCTCCCTTATCTGAATCTCATACGTGTTAACCTGTAGGAGACCTTTACCAGCCCAGGCTTGGCCGAAATCGCCAGCCGCTCTCCCTGCTGAAAAGGGTTCGCCGTTGGTCCTGATGATGGAAGGATTATAGAACAATGGTTGATTCAGAATTTCTTCCTTTGAAACTGGTTGATTGAACTCTCTCGGAAGAATCTTGTTCCACCCATATAAAATATCCCTCCAAACCTTCGACCTTGATCTTCTGTTTGTGAAGGAAGGTAGCAGCATGCATTGCCACACTAGCTCTGGCTGGGACAAGTCCCATTCAGCGGCTAGTATATATTCGGCCAGACGGATCCCCAGCTTCGACGGGTTGTCAAACATAGCTTTATTGGCCACTTCGCCAGTAAGGCCAAATTCTGTTGTCTTGGGTCTAGAATTCCAAGCCCGCCCTCGGACCTAGGAAGAGTAATGGTCTCCCAAGCAACCTTGGTCAATAACCCGTACTCTTCCTCCGAGCCGGTTTCCAAAGGTACTTAGCCGCACAATTCTTAATTTGAGCGTAGGCTTCGTCTGGGAGACGTATCAAGGTAAGGGGGAACCAAAGTGAGAAAAAGGCTGCAGCAAAGATCACTAACGCCCTCCCAAAGAGAGAGGGAATGAGGCCCTTCTGCCATTTGTTGATACGGCCAGCAACCTTCCCAACTAGCATCAGGTCCTGAGAATTGGATCCGTTGCGAAACTTGGATGCCCGAGAACCTCTCAGAGTTTTCCGTTGGTACCTGACGCAGCCCCCAGTCCACCTTGAGTGTGTAGGGGTCAGCCAGAAAATAAACTGACTGTGCCAGTTGATTGATGCCTCGGACAAGACACAGTAGTCATTTATAACTGATCTAAGTTCATCTAAGACAGGCTTGCTATTATCGCAAGCAATAGTGAGATCATCCGCTAATCCCCCCCCCTTCCATTCCAGGGATGGGGACAAGCGCAGGCCTACTATTTTAGGATTGTACCTAATATTATCAAGCAAGGCCTCCAGTTGTAAGACAAACAGTAGAGGGGTCAGTGGACAACCCTGGCGTAAGGAACGAGTCAAGTGGAATTCATTTGAGAGTTTACCATTAACTAAAACTGACGATTTGGCCTGTGAATACATAGCTTTGATCCAAGTACAGAAACCCCTACAGAAACCCATTCTGATAAGCGTGGTGTGGACAAAAGCCCATCCCACCTTATCATATGCTTTCTCCATATCAAGGAGAAGCACAACCACATCCCTTTTCTCTTCACCTATGATTTCTAGGGCCTGAACCGTCGACAAAATGTTCTCAAATATAGACCGTCCCTTGACAAACGCTCCCACCAGCTCTGGAAGAAGGTCGGCCAATTGCAAGGCCAATGCTTTTTCTAATATTTTGTAGGCTGCATTTAGCAATGAGATGGGTTTATAATTTCTCACTTCTTTTTTATCTCCTTTTTTATACAAAAGTGAAATGCCCCCTTTGAGAAATCCCTTGGGAAGTGTCCCTATTGTTTGAGCCCTGTTATAAATATCGCAGAGAAACGGTGCGAACGCGTCCCATGAGGCCCTGAAGAGTTCCACCGGAAGGCCGTCGATACCTGGGCACTTGCCCCCGGCCATACTCTTGGTCGCTCAAAAAAGCTCCAGTGTCGTCAAGGGGGCATCCAGCTGGGCTTTCGTTGGCTCTCTGATCTGCACCCTGGATTTGTCCCAGAAGTTAGCGACCTCAGAGAGGTCCGTTTCAAATTCATCGAACGGTCTTCTAGTCGACACTATGTCTCTAAAGTAGTCCAAAGCGTAGTTGCATAGGTCAGCCGTTTCTGTCGTCGTCTGCGCGTTCAACGCAAAGGGGTGGGTGAACTCTCTGATGAGAGGTTTCGTCTGTCTGAGGACCAAAGAACGGAAGGCTACTTTCGTCATTCTATCGTAGCCCAAAATGCCTCTGAGTCTCAGCCATTCCAGTCTTTCAGCCTGCTTTCCAACTTCCACCTCTTCTAGCTGCGACAAGGCCAATTTTCTCTTTTCGGGCCAGTAATAATCCGCAAAGGGGTCGGTGCCCATTTGTGCTTCAGCTTCCTCTATTAGCCTGCGTAATTTTAATTAAAGAACTCCATCATGGCTACCTTGATAATCTGCATTCCTACATCTGTCCACATGTCTTGCTCCTTAAACAAGTCTTTGGCTAAAAGTCAGCCCTCCATCTGAGAAGTAATCCACCGGGGAATACCCTTGTCTTTCAAATTATTAATATTTAGTCTAAAAGGAGGTCTTTCCTGAGCGGTGATTTCCCTTGAAAGCACCTCCATAAAGATCAGGTAGTGGTAAGAAAGATCAGAGATCCTGAATTCAGAAGATGAACACCTGTCCCATGGAGTGCCGCTTGCTAGTATAAAATTCAGCCTCTTTTTGGGGACCGGGGCACGCGGGGACGGCTTTGGGCCGCACCAGGTGTATCCAGGGTCCTCCGGGTTGAGGGACCGAAAGGTGTCAGTTAGCATCAGAGAGTCCACAAGGGACCATAGGAGAGTGGAATCTGATCTAAGTGGTACACTCACCGGTGGATCTAATCCCGGGTTTAGAACGGTGTTCCAGTCTCCTAAGATTCTCAGTATCCGGTAGGAAGGAAGGGAGGAAGCAAAAAAATTAGTCCGGTCAATATAATCTGTAGGGGCGTAAATTGACACTATTGTCCAGTCCTCATCCTCAAGGGCCAATTTGACCCAGACTAGTCTCCCTCCCGAGTCGATATAGGAGTCCAAGACTTGACAGTCCAAGTCCTGATGGATAAGAATCGCAGTACCACCTTTCGTCCCGTCTGCCGGGGTCCAGAATTGAGGGTCCCTCCACCAATTAACTGCTCGTTGCGTTTTGTTGCCATCCAATTTCGTTTCTTGAAGACACATTATTTGTATCGACTCACTATGAATCCAGGAACACGGTCTTTGCCTTTTCAATCTGTTGTTGGTATCTCCCAAGCCTTTAACATTCCAACTAGCTATCCGAATTTTATTCGGTAGGACCATTTATACGACCAGTCTCGCTTTCTCGTTGGATACGGTCCTCTTCGGATGTATTTGGAGAGATATCAACTTGGGAGCTCATGAGCAGATCACGAATATCCGTAGGAAACCTTGTGGCCCTAATGAACATTTTGAACTTCGTACCTGATACTAC